CTTGTTACTAGTGAACTGGTGTGTTGCAGTTAGTTGGTGTTTGATCCTTACATTTCCCATGACATTTGTAATACATTATAACAATGTCAGTTGTAGTAGTTGGAATTATCAGACTTTTTTTTAAGTATGCATTAGCAACTGGAGGACGTACTGATGTCTTGTATAAATCACTGCAGTTATTTTATTGTAAAACAAATCATGACCATTTGTAGTGGAATGCAAAATACACATGTGCTTCTTTTCTTTTAGGGAAATATTAGTCGTCAGGAAGCTGTCAGTATGATTCCTCCCCTTCTGCTTAACGTTAGTCCTCATCACAAGGTAACTACAAATAGGTTTGGTCTGGTTAACAAAACAGTTTTGACAAGTTAAGAAAAAATGCAAAACCCACCCCTTTGTATTGGTGCTTTATTTAATAGCATATGCTATGTGTTGCGCACAAATTAGTGATTAACTACTCTCTATGGGTATTGAAAAGTCAGATATTTTTTCAGCTAAACATACTTCCATTTTAATGTTTGATTTCGTTCGCTCCCACCAACTCTTTAAGCATTTTGCTTAAAAACAGAGCTACTTTCGCACATATCACTTTCTCATTTTGTTTTGCTTTGGCATGTCATCAGTGTCTGAGTGAATCCTAAGTCACTGTTTTATGCTGGCTGGTCTGCCAGTTCCACGAAAGTTTGGAAAGGACCTCCCATATGAAAGCCACTCCTTTGCTGTTGCAGGCAGCCCTTTTTGACAGTTCCACTCATAACTTTTTCAGCTCCATCTTAACCAGCTAATTGATTTGTCCCTTTAGTGCTGCTACTGGAAGGCTGGTCCAGAGCCTCACTCTGACAGCTGGAAATCTTTAAATTTCCATCTTGAATTTATTCATGGCCCATTTGTACCCATTTGTTCTTATGCCAATATTGTTCCTTAGTTTAAATAGCTCTGTTTCCTCCATGGTGTATTTACAGACGGCAGTGACAGTTTCTCTCAGTTTTGTTTAGCTAGACTAAACAAACCAAACTCTTCTTAGTCATCTTTAATGGAGTAAATAGATTAAAGGATAGATGCTTTCTCACTTTCTGAATTTTACCTGGAATCAAATTAGTTGATATTACACATACAAGATTTTTATGCAAGAAGCTTGTTGTGAGAAAACATCTGTTCATTTTACCAGCCTTCCTATTTCTCTTGTCTTATTTAAAGGCTTAACAACCCTATTTTAAATATGAATTTTCAATTTCAGTGGTTGTTTACATAACCTTTGCCTTGTTCTGCAGTTTTATTTTCATCTGCTGTCATTTTGCTGGTCAGCCTTAATAGGAGCTCAGGTTCTTCGGTGTTGCTCTCTTCATTCTTTTTCTTAGTATTAGCTGTGAAAACAAACAGATGTTTAATTGCATCCTCTACAGGTGTCCTTGGTTTTCCCAACAGCAGATGTAGTCCTTTGTAAAGCTTAAGTGGCTGCTTATTTTATTTGCTTATATTTCCATGAGCTTTTATGCTGCTATATTAGAGTGTAGTATGTAGCTTTTAGAGTTGAAGCAACATACCTTTCCTAGGGGTGTTTTCTCTGTTGGGTTTTCTGTGCCAGAATGTGTTAACTGTCAGTGAGTTCCCTGCCAGTTAGTTTGAGAGAGTTCCTGACTGTTTGTTCCACAGTACAGAATTTGTGATTTTTTTTACCTGAGGCTTTTCACTGTGTTAATTACAAGTGTGTGCGGAGAGTCCAGACTAGCTGTTACAGCCTAACTATCTTGGATTTACTGGTAAAAAGTAATTTGAGATGAGAAAAATAACAACACTTAAATGTAAATATATGTTTTGAATTTACCCACTTTTTGTTAATGTCAGTAATAATTGTTTGTGCATATGGAGAACTGAATTATATTTCTATCTTAGCTGATGGATGCATGCACCCACGTATGTATATGCATGTAGAACAGGGGTATTTCATGTAAGTTGTAGTTAGAGTAAACTTGACCATTTCATAATTGTATGATCTTGTATCTGAAAAGCATCTTGTATTTAAGCAAGAAGCTATAATAAATCAAAACTAAAACTTGAGAAACTTTGATGTTCTTTTTTACTTGGTAGATTCTAGATATGTGTGCTGCGCCTGGGTCTAAGACTGCACAGCTAATTGAAATGTTGCATGCAGATATGAATGTTCCTTTTCCAGGTGAGTTTGTCAGGAGCGCTTTGGGATCGTGAGGCTTTAAATTGCAAAGATGTTTTGTTTTGTTTTATTTTTTGTGTTTTTTTTTTCCCTAAGAGGATATGCAAGTATTAAAAAAATCCAAAAACTATATACTGTATTTAATTGCACACTTTCCCCTCAAAAAATAGTCCTCCCAATTTGGGGCATTTGTCTTTAGTGGGAAAGTTCATTTCTTCATTGGAATGGCAGAATTGATAATAGCTTTTAGCTAAGCAGCCAAAAGCTGGTGCCAATTTGGTGGTAGCTGTGAGAGGGTTAAAACTAGCTTTTGCCTGAGCAGCCAGGAAGGGGTGAGTGAGCTGAAGAGTACCCTGTTCCATGTAGTCAGCTTTCAAGCATGACTAGAAAAATCTTTTTCTTCTTTTCCTTCATTCTGCCTTCCCAAAACAGGGTGCATCTTATTTGCAGGCTTGTGGTATGTGAGGAAATACAGTATTCATATGCTGAATAACATTGGCCTTACTGTTCAAAGAAGATATGGGAACCGAGTATATAGTAGACTTCAGACTTTTAAAGGACCTTTTTAATCAGCTCCCACTTTGAGGTATCACAGCACACATCCAGCTGTTTGCTTGTTAAAGTTACCTGCAGGTTGTCTTTAAAACTTAGTGGCTCAAAGAAAAGAGATGTGGATTATACACTTGTAGAAGATTTGTGGTAACATTAGGCATGATTAGAGGGTTGGGTTTTTCTTGTTTAATTAGTCTGAGCTTTGTGGATAGGACCTTACTAGCTCTTGTTTTAGTGCTCTCCTATAGATGCTAGATTAAATTGTGCCAATCCTTCACTTTAAGAACCCACCCTCCTTTTATTTTTTTATTTTTTAATGTCAAATGCTTATCTTCATTCTGATGCCTGTAGACCAGTGGTTCCCAACCTTGGGTCATGACCCAAATGAGGGTTGGGGGGCAATGCCAGCAGCACCGCATGCAGTGGACGAGCTGCGCCGCATGCCAGGAGCTTCTCTGGGCCACCGCCGCTGCTGCACTCCACTCCTAGCAGTGGGTCATGGCAAAAAAAGGTTGGGAACCACTCTTGTAGACAGTAAATCATATGGGGTCTTCTCTGTGTTTGGCTGCTTGCAGGCTGTTTTCCAGCACAGAAGTTTTGCCTTTTTTCCCAGGGGCTAGAGCGTATTGTCTCTGTGCTAAAGGCCTGTGTAGTCTTCTATTTCAGCTGCATAGCACCGGAATTTATTGTTTCTGTCTTTAACAGACCACTCCACCCTTCAGAGGTGCTTTTTTTTTTTGGTTTTATAGGCCTTATTTTGACACAGCCTAAAATTTCAACCTATAGAAATAAATACTGATCTCCATGGAAGTCTCCAGAAAGAGGCAAACAGTTTATGCAACCAAAAGAAAAGCCAGCAAACAATATATTTAATGAATTGTAAGGCATAAAATAATCCTCCTTTTTTGGCCTCTGAATACATATTTTTGTTGACTCTTTTAAGTGAATCGCCTGGATATCAACTGTATTATAATGGAAGATGCAGCTGTTTCTATTTTAACCTGTGAATTTTATGTTTTCTATCCCCAGAGGGATTTGTAATTGCTAATGATGTTGACAACAAGCGCTGCTATTTGCTGGTTCATCAAGCTAAGAGGTTAAACAGCCCTTGCATCATGGTGGTGAATCATGATGCCTCCATCATTCCTAATCTACAAATAGATGTTAATGGGAAAAAGGAAATCCTTTTCTATGACAGGATATTATGTGATGTTCCCTGCAGGTATCTTGTGTTTACTATTTAATGCAAAACAAATTGTTGTATTATTTGCAACATAAACTTACTGTTGATTTGTTGCTTTTTCTGCCTAGCGAGGCAGGGTTCAAACATAGAGATTTTAAAACGTACTCTTTCTTCTTTTAAATCAGATTATGCAAGGGGATTAAGAAAAGCACATTTTGCCTCACTCCAGTTTTTACTTAGCTTCACTTAATGGATCAAGAATGACCAGATGTATGCAGAGAGAGATGTCAGAAGTCTGCTAGATGGTTTTTTTTATCCTTGTAGTTTGGGGATTAACAGAAACAAAATAAATAGAATTGTATGTATGTATGATTTATTTCAGAGCATTAAAGTGCTCTTCAGTCTAAAATGTAATTTTCCAAACTTAGCATTTTGGAGTTCCTTTATTATCATTGCAGTGATTTGGTGTTAAAGCTGCTTGGTTTTAAAAGCAAACCTTTCCTCCAACTCTGTCAATGTGGCATGGAATCTGAAAGTCAAACAGTTCTTCCCAGTACAGTCATCATTACAGGACTTCTAAAACATAAACATATGCCTGTTTTCCTTCATGCCTCAGATTATTGACAAGCACAGTTTTTGTAATCCAGTGTAACTGTAATTTATGGTTATATTACCCATGAAATGAAGATTCGGTTAAGTTTATTTTACTTGTTCATAGTTGGGGTCTTGGTGCTGCAATAGTTCCTTCAAATAGTGTAAGGCTTTATTTAACATTTTAAAGTTATTGTTATATAGATTCTTCTATGAAGAGTTTATTTTGGCAAAACTTCAAATGCTTGCAAATGTAAATTGATGTCCATACTGCCAATTTTGTTGGTAGTATATGAGCCAGAGTAGAGTCCCATTCCTCTGTCTCAGTTGTCTTTTGTTCTTGTCAAGTGAAAGGAATTGAAATGTAAAAATGAATTGGAGCAATCTAAAAAAAAGAAGGTGTTAATGCCACGAGCCTCTTTCAGAGTGGAATCACTTCCATTAACACCTGCTCACTTTGTCCTCAGATTTGGAATTGTTCAAAGGGACTGTTGTTCTCTGGCTGCTTTTGTGTTGTATTAAATGTATTTTGACTGATTGCCAAAAGCTTATTTACCTTTCTTAAAGAAGGTGGCCAGTGAATTGTTTTATTTAGTAGTCCCCATGTCTCTTGAGATTTTATTGTATATTACTTCCCTCCTGACTTTCTCCTGTTGCTCAGACATAAGAGTTAAACTGTTGGTCTTGCTCAAGGTAGACAACAAAGTATGTGTTCAAATGAGCAGCTGGTAAGATTATATCTCAATATAAGATAGAAATTGGATTACAAATCCTTTAGTGCAGGTTTGCTCGTGTGTTCAGAACTAGCCAACTGAAGAGACTGAAGAGTTGAGCCATAATATACTAGTAATGAAGTACTTGATTATTTTGCTGTATCCTTTTCAAGAATGAATTGTGTGGCTTCCTAAAAATAAACAAAAGAACCCCCAAAACAAAAACAAACCCAATCATGCCTTCTAAATGTTAAATCCCAGTAAGTTTTCATATTGTGGTTCTTTACTCTCTAATGGAATAATTACAAATAATTCTAACTCAACTTTCTCAGATTTTAGTGGAAATGCCAAGTGCTAGCTGAGTCTTATTCCACTGTCCTAGCGGTTGATGTTAGATGCTAGAATAAGGCCTTTAAAAGGCTTAGGGCCCTTTTTAAATGGAATCCCCTGTGGTTAGCCTCTTTGATTTAAAAACAGAGAAATGCAATTAGAAGTATTTTAAGGAGATAACCAAAGGTAGATGATAAATTTAATATTTTGCATATGAATTAACATGCAAACTTCTATTGCAGTGGAGATGGAACCATGAGAAAAAACATTGACGTGTGGAAAAAATGGACAACTCAAAATAGCTTGCAGTTGCATGGGTAAAAGGCATATTATAATCCTTGTATCTGTTTGGGGGAAAAGAGTAATTCTTTAACATAGCAGTGTGATGAAATACAAGTTATATAATGTTGCCATTTCTTTCTTCAATGAAGAGCTAATATCCTTGTGCTTTCTTCTGGGAGTGGAATGATTGTTCAGATTTGAATTTAGTCTACAGTAAGGATAGGATGAATCCAGACTTTCTTTGTATTCTTATATGATACCAAACAGGTATCAGTATTCATTGACTTATGAATCTAAATGCACAGAATTATTGGGGAACTAGGATGTGATTGCTAAGCATTGGGACAGGTGGGAGAGGAAGGGATTTGGAAGCCATGGGCAAGACTGCGTGCCTGAGTGGCAGTGGGTATTTTGTATACTAAAACCCAAGCAAAATCCATAATATCAAATGTGAATATTGTTGGAATCCTTGTGTTGGTATCTGTACTGAATATGAATCACAGATTTGTCTTAATCTAAGTGACTTGATGTCCCAGCTATTGCAGTAAAATAACAAATGTGGGTGGGAGTGTTTGACATTGCAGCTTGATAGCCAATGTTCAATAAGTCATTTTAAAACTAAATTGAACTCTCTCTGGTAAATTGTAATCTTTTAAGAAATTGAGCATTATCAATTCTGAATGTTGAAATACAAAATTATTTTGATGTAGTAAACCCTTCACAATTATTTAGATGTGGTTGGTTATTTACAGCCTGCCTTTGTGCAAATGTATGCGCGCACTTTTTTCAACATGGCAAATTGCTGCTGTTTTCCCTGTTTTGAGGAAGGTAACTTAGTTCAACTGGATATTCACGTTTGTTTTCCAGTGTGGCTAGGTAGCTGATGTGCAGGGATCCAGGTTTTCCATTTCCTGTGAAAAAACAGAGTAAAACAAAGATTTTCCCCCCTCACTGCAGTAAAATGCGGATTTGTCATTTTAGTAGAGAAACCTGTTGATTTTTGCAGTTTTGCAGTGATCTCTCTGGAGGCTGGCAGAGTTCCAGCTTGCAGGGGGTTGGGAGGGAGTGGGAGGAAGGCAGTCAGGCAGGGGCGCAATGCACATAGCCCTAGGCAGCCTGGAGAGCAGCTCCCACAGGTAAGCTGGGGGGTGAGGGGGGATTGAGACCCCCATGAGGAGTGGGGGAGTTGGGCAGGGCTGGGACTGGGGCTGAACCTGCTGCCCAGCCAGGCGGTGCTTGGGGCTGCAATGCGTGGCCACAAAGCCCAGGCGGGGAGCATGACAGGGCCGCAATCAGTTCATTCAGGGGGGTGGGGGTGGTGCTGGCTCCCCACTGCCATGCCCACTCCTGAGAGCCAGGGGGTACCTGGGCCTCCCAGATTGGAGAGGGGGTGGGCTCAGGCTCTTGCTCTGCTGCTCTTCCCCAGGGCGTCCACAGCCCAGTATGTGCAACCCTGCATTGTAGGGAACATTGGAGCCACACAGGGCTCTCCTTGCTGCTGTGAGTTCCATGCTGCGTTGGCGACATCCTCTGTGCGCGGGTGCAGCAGGGGAAGTGGCACAGGGGCTGTGGCCCCATAGCCCTGGCAGCTGGGGGCCCCCTCTGGTGGGGCAGGGTGCACCAGCAGGACTGGGGTGGCTGTAAGGGTGGGGTGAGGGGCACCTGCAGGTCTGCGGGGGCTGTAGGGGGCCTTTTATTTTAATCATGGATTTTGGAGTTTTTATCAGAGAATTTGTGGGTTTTTTATCAGAGAAAACCAGGATCCCTGCTGATGTGCATGTCTGGGCCACTGGAAACGCATTTAAAGCAAAAGTATTCTAGAATGAAGAAGACTAGGTTTACTGTAGGTGTGTGGGAATGGTCCTATTATACACTTACAATCCAGCATCTTGCTTGAACTCTACTGTTTCTGTTTCTAGTAGTATTCAGGTTACTGTTAATTTGAATGCTAGAATTACTGAGGCAGAAGCTAGACTGCTTACATTAAAATGATCTGAAATTGGGCACTTTAGGAGGAGTGAGGAAATGTTAAATATTAAATTAGCTGGGTTAGGTACAGTGTAGCAGCAGCAGTACAGAGCTCAGCATGGGTTTATATACCCTGCCCAGAAGTAAATTTAACTTGCAGTGTAGACGCATCCAGAGTTAGCTATGATGTTTCAGGAGAGTTTCAGCTCGAGACAGCATGTTTTCTATAAGAATTATGGGAATGTGGCTGGTTCTTACATGGTATGTGGTTTGACCAAGAATTTTCTGTTAGGTTGCAGTTAAGAATTGCAACCCGTGGTGTTGAACAGCTGGCAGAAGGTGGCAGGATGGTTTATTCTACGTGTTCACTGAATCCTGTTGAAAATGAAGCTGTCATCAGCTCTCTGCTGGAGAAAAGTCAAGGTGAGACTGTGAGCTCTCTCGGTTAAATATTTACTAGAAAAATGAAGTAAAACCTCTGTAACTTACATAATAGGGGGAATTGCCCTGAGTTAGGGTTGTCTAGGGCCAGCTGGTCACAGGCCAGGTGTTGCTTTCAGAAGGAACATGGGAAGATGTGCTATTTCCTTCTATTGCATCAACAGCACTAATAAACATTCTCCATGCCACAAAGGCCCCACCAGTGTTCTGTTGCTGCCTTGGATTTGTGCAAATGTAACTTGCATCTTAACCAGTTCTGCCAACAAGGTGTACAAGATGCGTTCAGACAGCTGTTTTTGTTCTTCAACATGAACAGAAGTAAATATTTGTTTTTGTTACTGTAAAAAGCATGCAAGACATAGAGCCTAACAATTGAGTAGGAATATGCCCTCTTAATACTCAGAACCCCACTGTTAAAGTTGGCTGGCATTGGCTGGTTCTGAGGCTTGTCACCTTTATACTGCTTGTGATTGCCTTAAGCACAGCTGTGGGGAGCATGGTCTTATGCTGCTGTGGATACATCAGAATAAGACAGCAGCCTGCTTAAACTGCAGAGCTGTGAAACAGTGGTTCTGGGGCCATACTTTCCCCCAGTGCCAGGATGAAGGAATGATTGGTTGTAGCAATAGTCAGTAATAAGTAACCTAGACTTATTTGAGGGATGTTTCCTGGCAGGCAATGAGGTTAGATCATAGACAGTTGTCCAGCAACTAGATCTTTCCAGCTGATGCATACTTCTGTATAGCTGCTCCCTTTCCTGTTTCAAATCAGCTAAGAGGAGTGTTTGTCTTAACCTGGGGTGGGCAAAATGCAGCCCGTGGGCCAGATCCAGCCTGCCAATTGATTGTATCCATCCTGCAGCTGCATCCATGGTGCTCTGCATAGGGTCAAGCCCTACCCACTCCTGCCCAGGACATCCTGCACCTATTGACTGCACTGTCCTGGTCAGTGTGCACAACTTCCTGGCAGGGCTGCTCCCAGTGCTGCTGCAGCTGCCTGGGTACTGCTTGGTTCCCCCCACCTCCAGCAGCTTCTCCTCCTGCTCCTGTTTCTGCTGCACCATTTCAGGCAGTCAGTAATGCAGGGAAGTGGCAACAACCATGGTAATGTGTGCCAGGCACCACATACTCAGCCAGATCAGGGTTGGGGGGTGGGGAAATCTCCAGCCGGGAGCCAGCCAGTTGCCAGCCGCTTTTCACCTGCTCAGCTGCCTGCAGGTGGCTGCTTGTTGCTCTGGGTGGGTGGAAGGGGGCTGGGACCTAGACCTGGAGCTCCATGAGCTGGGGCAGGAGCTGGTCAGCTCCAGCTTCCCCCCCTGCCTAGCTGGGCATGTGATGCCTGGCACATGTCCCCAAGGCCACCGTCGCTTCCCTGCATGGGGCAGCTGTGGGCAGGAGCAGCCATAGGCCCCCATGAGGAGGCACAGGCCGGATCATGGGGCAGACCACACCACACAACCGAAATGAGTTCTGCTGCATGCACCCCTTAAACCCCACCTCCCTCCCTCTCCCTGCTGCTGGCCAGCTTCCCCCCCACCACTCCCTATTTACATACCCACCCATATATCCCCTCAACCCCCCGCTTACAGACACAATATACAAGAGAAATACTTTATTTTAGAGCTGTTACGCAATCACTTCTATATATACTACTCACAAAAACATAAATTGGGACAAAATATTTCTTGAAATGTTTTAATACTGTATAGAGAAGTTTAATTTTTAGTACATGGTTTGTTTTTTGTCTGTAACTTTTTAAAATGATATCTTCTGAAAGATTTTGTGTGTGGCCTTTGACAACTCCCAAACTCATTAAGTGGCCCAGCGGCTGAAATAATTGCCCTTCCCTGATTTAACCTTTAGACTTGTATTCATACAGTCTTGTCCTATATCAGTACTGGAGAGACTTTTAAACAGACATGACTGCTTATGGTTGCTTCTGTGGACAGCACCAGGCATATTATTTGCAGTCATATGAATGTATGAAACTTACTGGCATAAAACTGCAGCCACATTTCCATGGCACCATAGGGTGCTGCACAATGTTAGCACTGGTAGGGGTGCAAACACGTACAGGGTTCACAAGATAAACCCAGAGATTTCAAAAAGGAGTCCATAATGTCAAAAACATTCTGACCTGTTGTGGTCTGAGTTCTTTGCAACAAAATTGATCTCTTTTTGACTACTGAAAAAAAAAGCAAATGAAAACTAAGAGCTGACATTTTCTGAGGGGTTCCTTGAGTCTAAGAAGCCTGAGAACCACTAGTTTATGCTGGCATTTTTTAAGCTTGCTGTACGCAATCAGGAATATCAGAGGGACACCAGTTTGAAAGAAATCAGCTTTGAGAAACAAGTTTTAGATTTTACCCTTGTCTGTCAATCCTCATATAGTTTTTTTGTGGTTCTACTCTCTCCTTTTTTTTTTTTTAATTTAAAAAAATATATATTCCTTCAGATTTTTGTGTAATATCTGCACACACGAGAGGTGACTGACTATGGAGATCAAACTGAAAGAGTGCTGTAGAGTTCACAGAGCAAACAAGCAGGATCAATAATGAAAAATAACTTTAATCTTTTACTTGTCCTTTCAGGAGTTCCTATAATTTAAAAATTGGACAGGTGTTATTTTAAGGGACTATTATTCATTTAACACAACTCAGTAATAATAAAAAGTTCTTTTCGTATTCAGAACATCTTACGAATTAATGAGTTCGGTATTGGTAATGCTGTTCTGTTGATGAACTGTTGGCTAGCAAACCCCTAGATTTAAGGCATGATGACTTCTGGCCCATCATGACTAAAATTAGCATTTTATCTCATTAGCCAAGAGTTCTTCTTTGTTCTCCCTCCTCTTTCTAATTAAGCTTTGATTTTTTTTTTCTCGCTTGAGATAACAGACCATAAAGCAATAGTATATGCCAAATTATTTTCAACTGTGTGTCACTGCAGAGGTAAAATAACTTAGAAGAGAATGATTTTATTGGTCTAAGCAACCTACCTATTAAACTAAAAGACTGATGTTTGTTGTTATCTTAATTTACTGAATATCATTCCTCTTATTCCCAATGTTTAATGTTGCTGTAACACTGACTTTTCAGCCTATACTCACCATCTATAAGGTCAGCAAATTTCTTTAAAGAGCTTACCAGAAATGTAAAAAGTTGGATATAATGTTTAGTAATTTAGATGTGGTACTTGTTTTGAAGCCTCTTGAAATAAATAATAAACAAACACCATATTAGCTTGGTGTATAATTTCTAGAAAATCATGTTTGGAAACATTACATGAGCAGACTTAAATAAATTCTCAGCACTTTATATTTTTACAATCACTTAATTTTCATTTATGTTTTTGGCTTTTTAGGTGCCTTAGAGCTTGCTGATGTCTCTTCTGAGTTGCCAGGTTTGAAATGGATGCCAGGAATTACACAGTGGAAGGTATTCCTATTGTTTCTGTAAAGATGTGCACCATAATCTCATTCTTGGTCTGTCTTTTGGGTAAACAAATTGGGGAAGAAGTCCAAGAATTGTAGTAAACATTTCCTGCAAGATTTGCTTTTTAAATGTTTGTTTTTCACATCGTATATTTCTTCATATGTCTCTGGCAGTGTAACTTTGATTTAGAATCCTGCCTTGAATTAGGCAGGGAGGGGATTTGAACTGAAATCATCTACCTATTCAGTAAGTGTCCTAACTACCAGTGTGGAGGGCAATGGACCTTTGGTGGTCCATGGGCAACAATGCTGTGCAAGTATCATGCTATAGAAAACATCATGTCTTCGTTTTGCTTTCAACCTTGGTTTTGATTCTGATTTCCCTGGGCAGCATCCAAAAGGTCTTTGCCCTTAAGCCTGGGTTTGGAGACCAACTGCAATGGGATATTCTGTGGTGTCTCTCTCAGTACTTCTTGCTGGAGTTCTTTCACTTTGTGTAAGATGCTTAAAAACTCATTGAGAGAGAGTGACAGTGAATTTGTAGCCTGGTGGTTAAGCACTCTTCTGGGAGGCTCCATTTCCTGCTCCATTAAATGTTCTTTCTATCTGTACAAAGTAGAACAATATCAGCAAAAGAAATTGAAAGCTCCTTTATAGCTTAGTGGTTAGGGCTCTCTCCTTGCAGATGAGGTATTATGGACCCACAACCTTAAATGTAGAAGAAGAACACTGTATCTGGGTAAGGGTCCTAATCCTTGAAGTCTTGGATAAAATGAGACCCTTTCACTCTGGCACTCTTGTGCATGCAGTCACAATAATATTTACCAGTCTAAACTACCCAGGAAGAATTTGCTTCCAGAATAACTGAAACGACCTCTTTTGGCAAAATTAATATCCATTGAAAAAAATTCCCCTCGGTTCTATTTTGTTTTTTTTTTGTGATAAAAAACATGTGTGATCTGAAAGAGAGAAATAATCAAGTGCAAGTCATGGAAAAGAAGTGAAAGTTTTTTCAGAAGTATTATCTTGACATTCTTGCAAATATGTAGCATTTCTTTTTGCTTGCTAAATGCATGTCATACAAATATACCTCAGCTGTAGCATTGGCCATAATGGCAGGAATGTTACCTTTTTTTGACTGTCTGTCCTCGTGTGCATCTGTTGTGGATGTGCATCTGTTCCACTGCCTGAAACTGGAGAATTTTTCGAGCCATGTCTGATTTGGTCCATGCATGCACCACACTAACTTCATGCCTTGTACCACAGGAACAAAAAAGATAGGGTGTGGGCCAACTGCTACTCCTAGTTCATTCTCACCATTCTTGGTAGTACATTCCGACCCAATGTTTGTAGTTTAGTTCAGCTGTGCTGTATTGTTATCCCGAGGTGTATACAGTTCTGAAAGTTTTTTAGATATTACTATAGGTTTAGAGAATCTTTGAAAGTTATAAGGAGTTCATCTTATTTCTTTTATACTCTTTCCTTTTTATGGCAGTCGGGCAGCTGTTATGCCCAGACTATCATCCGCTGGCATCATGTTGCCTTAAACAATGACCATTGTGCTTGCCTTTGTATTGTTTAGGGCAGATTTATGTCCCTCTAGCTTGTAACATCTCTTACTCATTTTTTCAAAAAGCAAAAAGTCAAGCTCAACTCAAGGGCCCAGATGCTATCCTTCTCCTAAGATGCTGATATGATACTCCCTTCCAATTCTAAATGTCTTGGTTGCTAATTAAAATCATTGGCAGCAGCCACAAAACCACGAAGGAGTCAAGAGTTCTGTGCCTCCTTTTTTGGCTTGAAAAGATCTTTAGAAAGCCAGGCTTGAGCTACTATGTATGCTCATAATTGATCTGGGGTGGCCACTTAGATGTCTACCTCCACCTAAGCTCTTTTTGTGCTTCTCAGATGGAACTGAAACTTGACCCCATAAGTCCTTGATTCCTTGGAGAAAAACTATGCCAAGCAACTAAAGTTGAGATCATGGAGGGAAGTCATCTTTTTCTCACCATTGTTATAGTTAGAGCACTTGTTTGAGAAGTCAGAGGCATCCCTTCCAGGCCCCATTCAATCTTTAAGGGGTATGAATCCACATACTTCCTAAAAGAGTACAGTAACCATCATGCTGTGAGCTAGGCTGGGCTGATGAGCATCCTCCATTCTCCTTGATGATGCTAGACCACTGGGTGGAAAGGACTATAAGAATTGTGTGGCCATAAAGAGAAGAAGCAAGAGGAGGTATGACTGGCATAGTGGGGTGGGCACGCCATTGCTGTGTGTTCATTTTATCCAGTGATGGGTTCAGTGCAAAATGTATTTTCATTTTACACTGACGTCAGTGCTACTGTTAGATGTTTCATTGGGGTCCTAACATGACAGAAGTTTCAGGTAGATGTTCCTTCTGTGAGCAAGCTGGATCCTGATGTTCTGGATGCTTATGAAGCCTGCCCAGAGAATGGCAGATCTGTGTGTCTCTGCAGAGTGGAATAAGGGTTAACTTTGAAGGTGCATTAGGCTGCCCATGGAGAAAATGGGAGTAGTAGTGCTCTGAGGGAGAGACCTTTGTGTTTTTGGGACCAAATGGCTGCTAAGTCTTAGGTGTTTAGTAGACAGAACAAGATCTGGGTCAGGTTTTCATTTACAGATAATATAAATAGCTGTTCAGAGTTCCTTTTTATATTCAACAGTAGGGCCTTTCCTAAGAAATTCTATGAAACAGAAATGTCTTGCCTAAAGAAAATCAGGTTTACATTCCTCAACAAGATCAGTCAGAAAAATACACCCTTAAACAGGAGGATGCTTTGCTAACTGATTCTGTCAACATCTTCACCAGTTGAGGTGGTGGCACATGCCTTACTTTCTTTTCTTGCAAAATTTTACAGTTAGCAGGAAATGGATAACAGAAAAATTATCAGTGCCTTTTAAAGATGCACAGAACTCCTCATTAATTAGTGATGATCCTTTGTACTTCCATGCCAAGAAAAATCATTCTTCCTATAAGCAAAGTGCTTTTAAAGCCCACAAAGACAAAGGCCAGATTCTTGCCTTTTTTGCTCCTTCAGCAGACTGAGAAACTAGTATTAAAATCCTCTGAGTTGGTGGAATAAATGTATCCTGGATTCCTTTCACAGCAACCAACCAAGAGATTAAGTGGCCCCAATCAAAGAACACCTTCAGACAAAGGCTAAGTTAATGGACCTCTTTAGAAGAAAATATGCTCGCTGGCAAACTTTGTTTCATATTTCAAATTACCAAAAACTTCTGGGGAAATGCAATTTAATTATATGTACACCGAGTTCTCTTGATAAACAGAAAGTGAGGAACAGTTTGGCTGTTAGCAATGAAAGCAAAATGTTGTGTTTAGTTACAGCTTCACAATCCAGAATGATTACCCCAGTGACAAGGTACTTATTCTTGTTGCAGCAGCTATGCATTCCAATGGAAATGCAAGTCATATAGGAGGATTTACCATTCCAAGGCAATAGTCTATTCAGAGAAAGGACACATAACTCCTACATGTTAAAAGATGCGTGAGCAGCATCTTACAAATGTGCGTGCCTCCAACAATGAGCAAGCATCATTTGTACAAATGGCAGAGACAGAAAACAGTCTTCTGTCCCAGCGTTCTGTGAAACGCCACAGAAATGCATGAAACTTTTAATCATTATTGGTATGGAGAGTTACTTACTACCCTTTAGTCTCTTAGTAAAAGCAATTTTTCTTTGGTTTCACAGAAACCATATACCAGTGGTTCTCAACATTTTCAGACTCAAGGCACCCCTTGAGAGGCTTAAAACGCCCCTCAAAATGCTAGCTCTTTGTTTTCGCTTATTTTTTTGACTACAGAAAAATGCTAGAGCAATTCTTCTGTTGCAAAGAACTGCAAAAAAAATCGTAACAGGTCTGTATTCTTTTGATATTGTGGATTCCTATTTAAAACCTTTGGGTTTATCTTGGACTTGTGGTTGCACACCTAACAGTACTAACATTGGGTGGCACCCTTGAAAAGATCTCAGGGTACCTCAGGGTGCTGCAGCAACCTGGTTGAGAATCAGTGCTGTACACATTGACACAATTTGAAAGGTTTCCTATATCTAAATGGCTGTTTATTAGATATTCTTTAATCATTCTCCACTGTTTTTGTACTCTTGCTCTTGGAAATAAATGAAGACAAATTCATTTGAACACTAGCTTAGACTATAGAGTTATTGAAGCAAAGCTGAACTTTAGGACAGTGGAGGCTCACAGCTTCTGAAATATTCCCTATTATATCTACTTTGGTTAATCAACCTCAGCTGAGTTGCTGAATATTAGTGAGATTTGCTTGTACCTTCTGGGTCATTGGACATCATGTTCATTCAGTGGCATGGTATCAAAGACTCTTTCAGTGCCCTTAGGTGCAGTTGAAGAAAACAGATGCAGTTCAGAGAACCTGTACTCAGGTTCTTAAAATATTTATAGGTTTTTCTTCTAGTGGAAAAAGAAAGGTAGCATAAATAGGAGCTGCCTTTCCTCCTCCTGCACCAGTGAAAACAATATGATAGCAAGGCTTCCAACATTACCAGTGGGAGGAAGCCCAGGTGGATTGGCATGCGTTCAGAGAACAAGTGCCCATGTTCCACATCAACATGCTAGAGTACAAAGCAGTGTTTAGAGCATTTGAACAGTCCCTCATTAATTTAGAATTAGCCCAGACCATTAATGTCACACAATCTAACAATATACTGTATATACAGACTTGGGGAAGAACAGTTCTGGTCATTCATGAAAGCAGTAAAGTTTTGAGAATTGGGAACATGCCATCAGTTCTCTGTATCAACAGTTGATTCATCAGCAATTATGACTGAGCGCTCCACAACTTTGGTGATTATGTGATCATGAAACAGCAGCCTCAGATTTAATTTTCATATTTTCCTTCATAGATAATGTTAAAAGATGGGCAGTGGTTTGAGGACTGGAAAGAGGTGCCTTCTAACAGACAGACACAAATACGACCCACCATGTTCCCAATAAAAGATGAGGAAAAACTGAAAGCAATGAACCTGGAGCGTTGGTATGCCTTCACCAAGTAGTTTGATTTTATTGGATCTGATGTTTAGCTTTTATAGCAGTAGGGGGAAATACCTTGTGGAAACTGGCATCTTGATTTTTAGGAATGGATTGTGGGCTAGAAATAATTACTGAAATGGTTAAGATAATATTCATTGCATATTGGTGACTGGCCACTACCACTGTGACCCCTAAATGTATCTGAAGGACAGAGGGATGGAGAGAGTGACAACCCTATCTTTAGTTCAAAGAGAGTGTGTTAGTAGAAAAACATTTAGGGACAAATTGAACCATAGTCTGCCATATTTACTCAGATCTGAGACAAAAAGTTTTTTCCTCATTCAATGGAGCTCTGAGGAAAGCCCTTCATCTTGGATTCAAGTATAAGACAGGAGCCACTGCTTCTGCCCTGAGCCCCCATCCCCTCTGCCACCTTTCCCCCTCCCCCCACTGCTGCTTACCCTCTATCATGATTCTAGCCCAAACCCTCCCAGTTAGACAGGAGCAGCAGCAATGATGGAAACTCCAGCTGTGGCTCTGACCTGGTCCCAGGGGCAGAACTGCTGCCACATCTGTTATGCCCCATGCCTGGGTTGGAGCTGGGTTTGAGCCAGAGCTGCAGCTGGGAATAAGTTTGGGAAGAGGGAAAATGGACAGGATGGGTGCAGGCAGGGAGGGAGCAAAGTGGGGAGCTGGGGGGTGCTGGGGAACAGGTGGAAGGAGGTAAAGTGCAGAAGGGACAAGGTTTAGGCCACTTGACTTCCCTGCCACCTTCCCCCGCCCCCTCACCTACCCTCTGCCACTGCTTCCTTCCTGTTGCTGCTTTCCATGCTGCAGCAGTGATGGGTGGACAAATTTAAGGTGACCCTCCAATAATTAGTTTCTATATACTCACAGTTTTCCTAGCAGAGCTTGTTGCTGCCTTTGGAATTAGAGTGTAGAATAGACCTTAATTTAGACCAGTGGTTCTCAACCTTTTTGCCATAGTGGGCCACACTTGCAGCTCTCAGTGTGTTGGACAGCAGCGTCTGGCCCATAAACACACAACTTACAAATGGCCCATACACACACAGTTTACTTCCAGTGTATCCATTTAACTAGAGGTGCACCGATACATCGGGTCATATTGTATCGGCACCAGTCAAAGCAAAATTAACATTATCAGCTATCAGCTCTTTTTGGCTGAGGTGGCTGATAATGTCGTCAATAAATACTGTGTGCATGCATGCAGCCTGGCAACTTGTAGAGCAGCATCTGGCTGGTAAATTGTGGGGAGGGTGCAGATTGAGGCCCTTCCAGTGAGGGAAGGAGTAGGGTTGGGGCAGGGCATGGAACAGAGCCGTGAGCAACTTGTTTGGGAGGGGACTGCTTTGGCTGCTGGCACACACCCAGGGAGGTCCGGGAGGGGCACATGCCCCCCAGATCTGTGGGGCAAGGGTGGGCTGCCACTGTGGGCTGGATCTGGGGGTGACACTGGGCTCTTCTTGGCAGGGGAGCTGGGCCACGCTGCATACAGGGTGGGTGGTGGTGGTGCTGGGAGTTTGGTGGTGGTGCTGGGGGTTTGGGGGTGGGGGGGGGCTACAGCAAATTCTGGGGTGACTAGCCCATCCCATAACCCCACCTCCCAGCATCATTGCTGCCTACCCTGCGCATAGCCCTGGCTCGACCCCCTGCCAGGAAGAGCCTGGCACTGCTCCAAGCCCCAGCTCACAGTGGCAGCCTGCCTTCACCCGCCGCACAGATCCTGAGGGGCACATGCCCTTCTGTGCTTTCCCTCAGGGTGCGCCAGCGGCAGGAGCTGCCCCCCACCCCCATGCTTCCCAGACTAGTCCCAGCTCTGTCCTGCAGCCCACCCTGTCTGCGTAGCGCCTGCCCCTGCCTGAGTCCCAAGCCTCACTCCCTTTTCCTCCCCACACCCCTTTTCCTCCACAGACTTCAGCCAGACGCTGCTGTCCAAGCTGTTGGGATGCATATCAGCAATTGCATCAGTATCAGCTGATGTGGCTTGTTAATAATCGGCCATTGGTATTGGCCCAAAAAGTCTTTATCAGTGCACCCCTACATTTAACAGGATGTCACATAGTCCACAGCAGTATGCTGATTGGGCTGCATGCAGCCCGTGGGTTGAGAACAGCTGATTTAGACACACAGTAAATGTTAGTGTGACTCCTTAATATTGTGTAAAAACTTCTGGATTCTGATTATATCGACTAATGTTGTTTTTGGCTTTTTTTTGGTCCAGTCTTAGGATATTGCCACATCACCAGAACACTGGAGGTTTCTTTGTGGCTGTATTAATAAAAAAGGCTCCAATGCCCTGGAATAAACGCCAGCCTAAGGTAAAAGGAGCTTTGATGAAAACGTATTTTTGTTGTGTTTTAGAAACTTTTGTAAATGTAATTAGAAACCTATTGGAAAAAAATTGGTCATAGTAATCTAGTATAACTGTTTCCATTCTCATCTTGAGTTGTCTTGACTGCAAGTCAGTCAGTGGAACTTGTATACCCAAATCCCTGAAGCCCCTTTGAAAATCTTTCTTCTCTTTTTTTTTTTCTTTTAAGTAGGTTGATGGGCTTGTGTAGCCCCAGTAAAATAGCAAGGTGGTATTGTACCTGGAGCTAAACCTTTTTTCTTTAAACTACAGTGTAACACTCTCCTCAGTTATTCATATTAAAGGGGTATATGCCTCATACAAATCACTTAGAGGTCTTTCTGTTCACTTGATGCCATTAGTTAGAACCTCTTTGTAAATAAATGTTGCAAAACAGTATGAAAAAATCAGGTTCATACAAAAGTAATGCACTTTCCAGCGCTTCTTACCATTTTAAGGCTCACACAGTAGCGCTGCTATTGAACATGTACAGTGAGATAAAGTTGTTAAGTTTTGTCTAGCTCTGGTTTCTCCATGTTATTAGGCAAAAACTAACTGGGCTACTGATTTGGAATGTTCTGCCCTTAAATGTGATGCATTTCATATTGGATGCACTGATGCATTCTTGGAGACGTGTAAGGCAGTAGACCAAATAAAGGCAACTTTGAATGGGTAACTTGCTCTTTGGTAAGCTCTTTTGCCCACCACACACACACAGGGAAGCTCTTTTGCCCCTCCCCCACACACACGCACACAGGTAGGGGGGTGTGTGTGTGACTGTGTGTGTATATAGTGTGTTTACTATATGTGCTAAACTCAATAAAAAGGAGTATGTAGACGAGTTAAATATAACTTACTTTTGCTTCACTAAAACATTTATTACAATCTGGAACAGCTTCAGCGGAAATTGTTGCAGAAAACAGGAGGTACTGCAGTACCTACCACCACTACAGAAGATGGCTCTGTAGAAACTATTGAAGAACAACCTCCTGAAGACGAACAGGCAAGGGAAATTCAGGACTCACTGAACTCAGAGTGCGAGCAAAGCAAGAAGGATGGAGTATGTGGGTAAGAGATTGCATCTAAGCAGACCTGTTTGTAACCCTTGAAGGCTTTGTGGAAACCTCAGTTTTGTTTAGTTCTGAATTTTAAATAATTTAAAAAGCAGAATTAAAAAAGGAAAACACGCTATTATCACAACATGCTCATTAGCTTTTATCTTGCCTTGTTCCTTTTCTTTCTTGTTATCTACTTAGATTGTAAACTCTCTGGATAAGGGTTGTTTACAAATCTGAAGAACCAAATACAGCAAAAGGATTAGTTTGCCTGGGGGATATATATCAACTCTTGATTGTTTTGGTCACTGTTAAATAATTCAGCATTATTTGTATGCCACTTAGGGTGGAGAATTAAACATGGGTTTTTTTCTGTACACTGTCAGCAATGTGTTTAATACTCTTAGTCTCCAAAAAAAGCCTTATTCCTGTCCTGATCTTCCACTGTACGCAAGCAGAACTTGTATGAAAAGAGGATGGGTTCACAGTATTCTGGAATAGAAATTGAACATCTGACAGAGAGAGTAGTAGAGAGCAAGGAGAAAAGGGTTTTGAAAGTGAAATGAAGAGGCTGATTATAGAGGAAAGCAACAAGAGCACCCAACTTAATAACTGTTCGTATTAAATATATGCCTGCTTTATGAAGGCATAGAGCTTGTTTTAAAAAGCTGTGCAATATTTCTAGTTGGCTCCATTACTTCATTTGCAGTCTCAATAATATCTGCATTAACTGCTAGTCCTACATGCTGGTATGGTGCTTTTCTGGAGTCCATTAATTTATCTCCTTTTCTCTTGACCACCACCTTCCTCTTTTTCTCCCACCTGCTTTCCCAGTTGACTCTCTCCTTTCTTTCCTTCACAATTGCCTGCTTGATGCACTCCTATTCCCCTAGCTAATGCATTCTTTCCCCCACATCAGTCCATCTGAATTTTCAGAGTTATAGTACCAGTATTACTAGTGAAGCAACAGGAAAATGTAGTTGTGTGCTCTTCCACATGCTTCAGTCAACACTCGCAGTCATTTGCCAAATGATGATCTAAATCCAAAGAACTTTAAGAAACTATTCACCCAAGCAATAACATTTGTTTTTAGACCACCGCCATCGAAAAGAATGAAGTTGTTTGGTTTTAAAGAAGACCCGTTTGTGTTCCTTTCTGAAGATGACCCACTGTTTCCATCCATCCAGTAAGGAGAAATTATGTCCTTTCATTCTGCAGTAAAGGATTCCAGCTAACTAGGATTAGTTTTTCCCAGGTGAATAGGTCTTCGTTGTAGCTGTAGTTGAAAAATATATCTTCATTTTGGCTCACAAATAAAGCACGTTTTCCATAATTTTAAGATAAAGTGGATATGTTGACATGCAACTCGTTCTTAAGTAAAAATTGAATGAAGCTTTAAAAAAAAAAAACAAGTTTAAAATGTCCACTTTCAGCAGCCTGCAGAATAACTCTAGAATGAAACATTTCAACTTCATTTTAAAAATATGTGGAGTTTTTTGTGACATCTAACACTGTTAATATCATGAGTCCTGTGCAGTGCCTCTCAGCCATCTGTGGTGGTCATGGATGAATGGGGAAGTTGCTGGAGAGTCTGTGTTTGTCATAATTTTTAATACGCTGAATATAGAAGCCTGGCAATCTAAAGTGTCACTGTTTATGCTTACAGGAAATTTTATGCATTGGATCCTTCATTTCCTAAAATGAATTTACTTACTCGGACTCAGGAAGGAAAGAAGAGACAGCTGTACATGGTTTCTAAGGAACTAAGGAATGTACTGCTGAACAACAGTGAGAAAATGAAGGTAGAACTCTTTATTTTTAGATGTTTTCCATGAATCCATAGACATCAGTGGAGGCTTCCTTGCTCTACTATGAGAGCTGTCTTCTGCTAGGACTCCACTTAAAGTACGACTCCATTCCTCTTATTTTGTTGAAGAAGTACGTGAATTTTTGGACTCTTGGAGGGAATATTACTTTACAAGACTTAACAATAGATGCGATGGCATTCTGCCTAATCTAATACAATACTTGGAGATCATACAAGGGACTTTGTGTGTGTTTGTACATATTTATGTATGTGGAAAAATAAATCATAAGGGTACAAATTTAACAGTGATGGGTGGGGGTCCTTGCCAGAATGGGGGGAGTGGGGTGGCAGCGGTTAAGGTTTGGGGGGGTCTGGCTGGGGGGGAGAGGATAGTGTGAGCTGTGGGCATCAGGATGTGGGGTGAATATGGGCTCCTGTGGTGGATGCAGCAAGGTGTAAAAACCACTGCACCTGCCTGCCCACTTCAGACCTAGGGTGGGTCATTCTGGCCTGCAGCCAGAAAAGGTTGGCTCCCTCTGCCCTAAACTACAGCTAAAACCAATTAGTAGGTTGTACAGGTACTCGTCACTTAATGTCGTCCTGGTTAACGTTTTGTTATTACGTCGCTGAGCTATTAGAGAACATAGTCGTTTAAAGTCACACAATGTTCGGTTACAACATTGTTTGGCTACTGCCTGCTAGTAGATCACTACTGTGACGTAATTGGATTTGCTTAACATCATTTTGCTTAGTCGCATTTTTCAAGAATGTAACTATGATGTTAAGCAAGGAGTTAGCTGTGTCCAGAAACAGCTTCTTAAACTGCGTCCTACTGTAGCATGACCAATTAATATTCTTCCTGAAGTCATCCATATTTTTTTTTCTCGTAGAGAGTTTAGAGACTGAAGTTTTATCAACCTGTAAATTCATCGTGAATGCACCGCTACTGCGGGCTTGCCAACCCAGTCATTTTGGTAGCAGGAAGAAAGCAAAGGGGAGAATGTTGCCTGGACCAGAAGCCCTGGGGCTGTAATTTAACCCCTCAGGGGCTGCCAGTTGGACAGCAGACAGCATTGTCTTAAATAAAAAACATCCTGTGAAGCTGCTAAGGCATTGAGCAGACATGGGGTGAGAAGTAAAGTTCTCATGAATTAAACTAGTTGAGGAAGAAAGCAAAGGAGGAAAATTACCTATTCCATAGAGCAGGGGTGTCCAACCTTTTTGAATGTGGAGCCAGATCATGAACTTTTTATCACCCAGTGGGCCAGCGAGCCATATTCAAAGACCTCACAGGAGGCGGTATCACCGCCCCCCCCCCCGAAACGAAAGTACAGTGTTTACTTTCATTTCCCATCGCAGCACCTCAGGCCTCAGAAAACAGCTTGGAGGGCCGCATGTTGGACAAGCCTGCCATAGAGATACAGAATAGAAGGCCCGAGTAGAAGACATCTCACAGACTTCAGGGTTTTATTTTTTGCAGCACATCTGTAAAGTAGGGCAATTTTATCTATCCCTGTTTTATAGATGGAACACTGTCAAAGGCCGTGAAAGAACATTGAAAAGATTTTAAGAAACTGGTGACAACATTAAACTTAAATCCTTGAGTGCCAAAGCATGGTTTAGGATGATTAAGTTCTTGTGTGTGATTTTTCCAGATTCACATAGGAAATCCTTAGTAGAACTAAGGATTGAAGCCACTTCTTGTTAACAGTTCAGTGCATTAACTGAAAGACCACTTATTTTGACGGTTATCAAATGTTGATATAGGAGAGGTTAGAAGTGGAGTGCCCTGAGGCTGGTAACTTTACCCTGATAATTGGGAACGTTTATTCATGTTTTTTCCCTAGAGCATTCTAATTTAAATTACACTGATAATGTAACCTAATTTTAAATGTTGAATTCTGATTTATGAGTTTTAGTGTTCTTGCTACAGCAAAAATACTCTTTCTTTGGTTGCTAGTTAAGCAGTTCAAGACAAGTTACCTAACTGAAACTTTGTTTCCATTAAACATTGTATTGATACTTTTACTTTAAAATTGACAGGTTATTAACACAGGAATAAAAGTTTGGTCTCGCAACAGTGATGGTGAACAGTTCGGTTGTGCCTTCAGACTAGCACAAGAGGTAATTTTGAAGCACCATGTTTTCAAGTCACGAGAGAACCTTATTAGCGTTCCCCATAGTGATACTTATTTTGAATCCAACAGATTGTGAGATGCAGTCTTCCAGGCTTTTGATATTTTAAACTGCATTGAAACAAAATAGTTTAGCTGTAATATTATTCAGAGCTTTTTTGCTTTTAATTTAATCCTTTTTCAAAAAGCAGGGATTCTTTTCTTTTTTAAACTAATTGTATTTTTTACCACCAGGGAATATATACACTGTACCCATTTATTAATGCGAGGATTATAAACATTTGCATAGATGATGTTAAAGTGCTGCTTACACAGGAGAATCCATTTTTAAGTAAATTTAGCAATGAGACACAAAAACTCATCAAAGACATGGGTAAGTTCTCTGTATTTACTACACGAAGATGAATACTGTTCTGTAAGTTGGAACCTCATTCTTGTGAATTATTCTTTCAGACAAATTGGAAATCCACCTACAGAAATAGATGTATTAGGAGTTGTGGCTAACACTAAAAATGTCTATGCTAACTGTTACTGTACTGCTACTGTATTCATAATGTTGCTGAATCTAAGAGTACTTCCAGAGGCTGTGACTATATCTGGTTCCAACTCTGGAAGCTTATTAGACCAAGGATGTATAAATTCTGCCAGATTTGAGAGCCTTGATTCTTATGTGCAAGATAACCTCCAAAAGATCCACCAAGTGTGGGATTTCTTAGTAGCATTGAAATTCCAAAGCTGTGAGCAAAGTTTCTAAACTCCGTTGGTATTTGTTTCCAACTATATTCCAGTTTCAATTTTTAGTCTGTCCTGGACTTTGTAGGAGCCTTTATTGATTGTATACTTTAAAATAGATGGCACTGGCCATGTCAAAATTAAACATCTATGTTTTACTTAAACAAATGGGGGGGAGGGGGAGGAATTATGCTTACTCTGAATACTGACTACATTATCTTCTCTTTTATGTGGGAAATGCTTATAATAAGGAATGCAGTCTCTCTAATTACCTTCACTGTTCCTCCCATATAAACCAGAGTGCACAGTAAACTAGATTAGTTTATGTAAAACTAATCTATAGCAGTTGTAGGCATTACTAGTAAAAATACAGACAGAACTTTGAATGTAGTTCTATCATTTTAAAAACTTACAGGCATTTATTATCATATTCTATCCATAGCCATTGCTGGTACTTCAGTGTCTGATGGCATGTGTGTTAAGTGAAAATGTAGGGAAGAAGTATAATTCAGAAAGTGTATAACTCAGTCTTTTGGTTAGCCCTTCACTCTCTTCATCTGTTTTGATCAATTTTTAATTTTTTTTATGGAACTTCTTAGCCTGATTTGTGAGAGGACTGTTTTTTCTGTGCATATATTTGTTCATCTGTTAACTTCATTTTGTATAGTTTCTGTTTGAAAGTATGTAGCTGAAATGCGTCTTCCAGTTCAGGTTTTTTTGTATTAATACAGATAGTTAGTGTTAATGTAGTTGTTGGATAAGAGTATTTGTACAGCAACAAGAAAATACCCTTTGCTCTCTCATAACGTCTTGAGGTCACAGGTATCTTAATGTGGTCCTAAGCATGTTTTATGTATTTTCTTTCTTCTAGCTATGGGAAGTATAGTCCTGAGGTATGATCCAGATCCAAAGTAAGTAGATGCCTTTCCATTCTGTCTTTTTTTTTTTTTTTTAACTTGAATGATTTCTTAGCACTTTGTACTACAGGAGAAATAGGCATGAATGTAAAAACCAAAGCATACAGCTCATTTCAGTGAGTCCTTATCTTAAACTTTTTACCCTCAATTTAATGAACTGTGAAAATACTTGCTGTAAATGAGTTTTTTTCACTGTTTGTGGAGTGTTCCTAGCAGTATGCAAGGAACAGTTTTCTATAATAATAAGGATTGAATATGAAAGCTACTTATCATGACTGTAGGATTAGTTCTTATGAACTATGTGCCCGCCTCTGCTCAAAGAGGCGTTCCCGGGCTGCCTTTGCGCGAGCAGCTAACCGGGTCTGCCCCGCTCCCGTGGGAGGGTTCCCAGAGGGTGCCCCAGGGGACGGTGGCAGCTCCCTGGATCTCCCCAGCCACGGTCCCAACGGGACCCTCAGTG